GCCCAGGAGGCCGGGGTGCGGTGCGCGTTGAGGTCCCGGCTCCGCACCGACCGCTGGGACCGCGCAGGGCAGGGCTCAGTGCGGCCCCTGCCCCGCAAGGGCTCCGTCCAGGGGCAGTTGCAGCAGCCCGCCCCTCAACTGCCCCCTCAGCCCTGGGGCTGCGCAGCCCTGGTCTGGGGACTCGACCCCTCTGCCCATGGCAGGCGTGGGCAGAGCTGGGGCGGTTTGTCCTGTCCCCATCGGGGCGGACCCCAGGGGAGAAGGGAAAGGCTCCCTCCCTCAGCCCCGCGCAGCCCCGCCCGGGCGCAGAGGGCTCGACTGCAGCACGCAGCTCAGCCCCGGGGGGAGGCAAGGGCTGCCCTTGGGCTGGGCAACCCACCGCAGTGCTCTGGTTTGGCTGTGGGGTGGGGCGTTTGGAGGGGCAGTGGGGCAGGGGATGGGGCAGAAACAGCTGTGATTAGAGGAGGGGCAGTTTCTGGCCAGCAATATCTCCCCTCCCCGGCCCACTTGCAGTCAGGGTGACTCCCGGTGCCCACTCCTGGCTGCCCCTGTTGTCCCCAAAGGACAGTGAGTTCGTGCCCGGTGCTCTTGTGCCAATAAACACACAGGGGTGGAGGATCCAACTTAATCTTTATTTCTGCGCAGAAAGTGGTGCTTGGCAATCGTTCGCAAAGCAAGCACCTACACCCCAGTGGGCGTCTGCCTTATATAGCTATGGAACAGGTTAAACTTGCTGATGTGATGAAATGTATAGCAAGCCCAGCAAGTAACCCCCCTTCCAGCTCCGGAACTTTGTTGATACAGCTTTCCTTCTAGGGAGGCCAGCAATTAAACAACTAAGCAACAAGCGAGCTCCCCCAGCCTAAACAACCTAATCTATGCCCTTGGTTAGATAAAATACTTTTTTCAAAACATACAATGCTGTTCCCGAAGAAGAAAATGTATAGTGAAAGTTCAGGGGTGCTCATCAAATCCCCCGTTGGCGGCTATGGCCCTTATGGAAAAGGCCCATAGTCCTCGACTATCTTTCTCATCTCCAGAAATCTCTTCGCTTCTTCCCGATTGTTTTGGATCGGGTTTGTAACTGATGATTTTACAAACATCACGCGGTGAACGGGGAAGAAATTGATTTCTTGAGTACCTCACAACACAGTGGCACACACTGTACCCCACAACAGATCATCAAGAAAATACACATACTTGCCACAATTAATA